CCCTAAATTATATCCAATGCGCCCTGAATGTATCCGTGTAGTCGCATCGCAGACGTTTGTATCGGACCATCAATGCGATTATGGCAGTTATTTAAAAGTCAAGGATAATGTAGGTCCGTGGGGGTGAGGAGGGGGTCAGTGTTGTTGTAGAATTAAAATGTCTTTGTGCAATATTAAGCCTGGATTTAGTGGAATTCAGAGAAGCACCAAGGACAAGGCTTCTGTGATAAAAGTATTTTTCAGGAACAGCGTGTCTTTTATCGGACCAAAGCCTGAGACACAAAACCAGACAAGGCCAGACCGGGACCAGGACTTCAGTCTGCCTCAGACCATATGACCACATCGGACATTTTGATAAAACTGTTGGTAGGACATTTTGTTAGTAGTCTGAGCAGGGATAGATAGACAGAGAGCATCGCAGAGCGCCTGTATGTTCTCTGTACATTTTCAGGCCTGGAAGGGACAGTTAAAATGGCTTAGCATAGGGTTAGTTATAGGGAATTAATAGCTCCAAGAGATTTGTATCAATATTCCATTGTAAAGATAAATAAATGATCTATTTTTAACTCTTGTATGCTTGGTCTTATTTCTGTATCAAATTCCGAACACGTCAGTCATTTTTTTGACAATAGCGTTCATTGAGCAGTCTGACAGCCTGGGGTAGAGATCTCCTGAGCCCTGATCTTTATCGGATACTGTAGAAAACAATTATATGGTTAGTAATAGAATAACATGTGTAGGAGAGGAAAATTGGGGAGTGCTATAGTCTCAGTACAAGTCTTGTGCTGGTTCTCACCATCACAAAGCGTTGTTCTAAGGCTCACAGCACTCCGGCCTAGCGGGCTTAAGATTAAAGTTTTAGGGCACCAGCAGAGGGAAAAGTTCTGCAAAAGTTCCCACTAGGTTTATGCCTTGATCAGTATCATAATCTGGAGGTCGAGGGTTATTATCCTGCCAGGGAACTCAATGATTGTAACAAAAGAAGCACTGACGATTAACTGAAAATTAGTTTCCGTTTATTAACTACACAGAGAATGAATAGGGTAACGAAGGGGTTTAGTCACATAAACCAGAATGATCAAATCACATTCCAAATCATAACACAACATACACAACCAACACGGTGTTACGATCTTACTGTGAGTAGTGATGGTAGTCTCTGGTTCCTCACTAATGTGGTCTGGGAGTAGGGCGAACGCGTGGCTATTGTTCTCGACCGGAGGAGGGAAGAGGCCTCTGTGGTGGCTGGGAGGTCTTTCGTCTGTGGGATCCGTGCACGTGTAGTGGCGAACAAAGGTAGCTTCTCGTTCCTCGGGGCAAAGTAACCAGTTCTTTCTCCTCACACGTGTTCTGATTGGGGCCGCGGACCGGCCTCCAGAGCGGGATAGCTTAGGTGGGAGTCCAGGAGAGCCAGGGGTGAAAGCGGCTCTCTTATCCGTAAAGCCAGTTGCGTTATTCCCTTGTAACGTAGTTAAAAAGAGTAGCGCTAGGTCCTTGGAGCGGGTGGTAAAGGGTTACGTTCTGCTCGGCCGCGGCAGCGTCGAGTCCAGCTTGACATGCGTAACAAAGGAAAAGCTTCAAGGAGCAGCAAGTTGCAAAAGCTGCGTTTCGTTTCAAAAAGCGCGTTTCAAGGAGGGTGAAGTTTCAAAGAGCATGCAAGTTTCAAAGAGATCGATCTGCGGGTGCAGAGCTGTTTTTGTTTCCTGTTTGTGGGCGTGTCTTATGACGTCCAATCCCTGCGACTTCAAGAATGGTTTCAGACAGAAATGGAACAGAAATTTTAACAACACAAACATTATTTTGACATAGGAACACACAATTTCGTTACAAACAGGATACACACGTTTCTGATGAAGGTTTTCACAAAACAATGCATTTGTGCATAGTCCGTTTCCGATGTATTGGCGTCCCGCGTCCGCTAGGGGTGGTAGAGAGTAAATCCAAAGTCTCTGGCTGTCTTTGCCAGCGGGTGGTGTCTTTGGGGTTTGTTTGAAGTCCCTGGGGTGACAACAAATGCTCCCTTGAAGTCTATGGCTGGAAGTGGTTGGAACAGTGACCCATTATCCTTTTAATCCAATTAAGGTTGCTTAGCAGGTCTCCGTGAGGGCAAGTAATTTCTTATATTAGACATGTTAGTATTCATTAGTATAGCAACTGTAAAATAAACAAATAAAAGGATTTATAAATTATATAAATCCTTGAAGCAGAGAATATATAATATAGCTTTACTTACAGGCTCAAGGTTCAATTAACAAGCACACACAAATACATTGTATTATTGCTTAGCCTTTATATTAATAGTTATGTTCATTACATTATAAATATGTTAGCCCCTTGTTATGGAGATGCCTCACAGACACTTATTTTCAGATTTCAGATGGATAGGTTTGTTCACTTTGTTGTTAGCATCTATGCTAATTTCTCCAATAAAGCTAACGTTGACTAGCCTGACTCAAGCCAGACCCTTGTAGTTCCGCCATGCTCCACCAGAGGTGTTTCGCTGAACACAAGGGTCTGGGATTTAGCGCGTTGCAAACTCCTTCAGGAAATCAAAAATTAATCGGCCAATCAGGATTGCCAATATTACATCGGGTCTGCACCGCCTTTTCGCGTGTCTCAGCCAAATCAAACCAAGATGGTGGATATAAAGTCAGTCAATAAAAAAAAAAAAAAACTTTAAATACAAACTAATTAAGACACGGATATCACTTCTAATGCAATTTGAGGCGAGATGTTTATAGTTCTATGTTGTTATATGTGTGTTTTAAGAAAAAAATGCTCATCACAACACTATGCAGCAGGGTTGCCAGGTTGGGTGGTTTCCCGCATACTTTTGTTTCAAGCAACTTGGAGGTAATAAATAGAAACACAAAAACAGAATCATGGTAGATCAAGTTGATTGCATTACATTTTTAGCCAAAAAAAAATCATTCTGGGTGTTTTTTTTAGGGCATTCTCGCGGGTTTTGGGCTGGGAAAATCTTTCTGGCATTTGGCAACCCTGCAACGCAGTGTGCTCAACGTTAACAATCTTGGGGGGCAGTTATGCAAGTGTAGTTCTTTCCTAATGGTGTTTTGGTGTTATTGGCATGTAGTAGAGAGGTTCTTAGTTGACAAAATAGTCCTCGTTTTTGATACTTTATTACGTTTCGAGGCTAACACACTCAGTAGTTGCTGAAAGTGCGCATGCTATCACAGTATTGCTTTAGTTTAGTTACATTATATAGCAACATATAGTTAAAACATTTATGAAATGCTGTGTTGTTGTCACTTACCTTAAAAATTGTGAAAGTACTGAGAGGTAAAAAATGTAAAATTCTTTCTCTTTTTTACTCTGAGGAGCGGGAGAAAAACTCTCAACAATCCAATAAACATCATCAATGGATATATTTCATTGATTCCCAAGACATCAAAAAATGCTAATCCGTGTTTGCTTGAGCCATTTGACAGACCAAACCACACCTGGAACCGAGACTCACACAGTGCCGATGTAAATTTGTGCATATCTTTACCACCGGTAAAACAAAACACTCTCCTCATGTACTTACCGTGGCATAAGTACCAGGTAGCATACAGTTTAGAGAAGGCAAACAGGCAAAGCGGTGGAAGTGGAATAGAGCCAGTATCTCAATAATGTGAAACAGAATATAGTCAAAGTTACTTTCGCAATATTATCTCCTACGATAATTATCGCCCACCCCTACTGATTATATATTACATTATTTCACATTCTACAATATTAAATTAGAAAGTTAAAAGTAAAAAATAATGCGTACAAATTCTTCTTTAAATAGAATAGAGTCCCTTTATCACCAATATTTCATCCTTATACAGCCTTTACTGTATAATAGATTGTGCATCTTCAGACCCAGTACTTTTGCATCAAACCGTGTTTAAAGGTTCACTGTGTAATTTTTTATGTGTTGAGATCCTATATTGCAGTCCAATATAGTATGGAAGTCTTTAAGTTGAGGAGCACTGTTTTGACAGTGCTCCTCAACTTTTAGTCACCAGACTGCCAAGGAAAGAATACTTTAGTTTGATGAAACGTCTCAGGTACTTGACAGTCGCGTGGAGGTACACAGCTGGCGTTTGCCACAGCGCCCTATCTGCATCACGGTAAGAAAACAGAACATTCACGCTGCTGATGAATTCTGGCGATTGTTTTGTGGGGGGGTTTCTTTGAGGCTTTTTCCCTGAATAAGTTTGGTTGAAACTTGTGATAGTAGTTGGACTGTGCTCGGATCAGGTCAGAGCATCCTGAGACTGTGTTGTAGAGTCTGCCTCGTTCTCATTATTGTCAGTGTGGAAAAAAAGTTACATATTGTTCACGTGTGAGTCTGTTGTGTACAAACTACAGGACGTGCCTCCTGTTGTGCTAACGCTGTCTTTCGGTGCGTGTAGGTTGCGATGTTGACACTTTGCTGCTATAACGCTGGACTTCTGCATAATTATTTTTCTAAAAGATTGTTGTTCAGATTGTTCTTTTACATAACTGTGGTCCTCCATGGTTCTTCAATATAACTGTGGTCCTCCATGGTTCCTTCTTCCAACTTGTGAAGGCAAGGTGAAAGCAACAATATCAGTAGCTCATGTGAAACGAAAACACTGTTTTTCCAAGATGGCGCATTTACACGGAAAGCACTCCTCTCTCATGGACACTTATAAGTTAAATTCCAAGCCTATGAATACAACTCAAAAAACATGGTGGAGGTAAATACTCTTATAAAGGTCACATTTGTTATCAATTAACATGTTTTTTCATAAATGTCACAATGAAATGCCTTTAATCACAGCTGATTAAAGGCATTTTTAATTAATGACAATGTTTATTTTGGAAGAGGAAACCCAACTGGTTCTAAATAGGATTTATATAGCTTTTCACTTATTTACAATATACCCAGGACATAAAAAGTACATTCTCAAGATATTTTTTTATGGGTGAAAATGCATCAAATGTGGGTTGACACACATGTCGTTTGCCAAATCATCTCACATAGATTACGGTGAGACGGGCAATCTGACCTGGGCCGATTCGCTCAGCTTCTGCTCAAACTCAGCTCCCACACGGTTGTACTTTTCGATGCACAATGCAAATGATTCGGCAGCTTTCTTTGACTTCAGCTCCGCCTATGAGAGAAAGAGATAATACCAATATGGGCATAGATGTTGTGTAGTACGTTGCATTTTCTTGTTGAGCTTCATATGGCAAAATATATTTCATCATCATTTATCACCAACTTAATGGTATAGTGCAGGGGTGGCCAACCCGCGGCTCTTTGGCTGGTTCCATGTGGCTCTCGGGCTTTAACATGACAAGTGTCAAAAAATGCCTCGGCTATGGCTCTGCCATTCATTCCCTATGTGGCACGCTGACACAAGTAGTAAAGGCTGACTCGACTCGACTCTTCCCGGTTTGTAATTTTAGTAACGGCTTGGCCCTGGTTCTAGCCGGGCTGAGTAGATACCAAAACTGATGTCGGTGAACGTCAATTCTGATTGGTCAGAACCAAAAAGTCTGAAGGTGGTTTGACCAAATGGATGCAATTTACAGAAATCGGCTAACATGCTAACACCATCTACACCAGGAGAGAACTCTGCCTTGTCCCAGATGTTGAGTTTGAGAGAAATGGTGAGTGTCTGTCTTCAATCAAATTAAAAAAGTATCTGGTCTTATACTGTACATGTGTCTGTTGTTTCTAAAGTCTAAATCAGCTTAAGTGGTGTTGATATTATGTGTCATATCATATCTTTAACTAAACGTACTTAGAGAGTGAATCATGGATTCATGGTTCAATAAAGACAGTCATTGTGTTATATGCTGAATGGTGGGTTGAAACTCAAAACAAATTTCTTCGATAGAGATTGAAAGCATTCATTTCGAATTCAGAATCAACGTTTGCCAATGTCCGGGCCAAGCACTTACTAAAAAAGTACTGGGTAGCGGCTAAAGCGACCCAATGGAAACGCCAGCAAACCGGGGAGAGCCGAGTCAAGCCCCTGGAACAGCTCTTTAGTACTGTAGAAGTCAATTTCCGTCGTTCTGGCTGAGCAGAGGTAGATGTAGGTGTGTGAGTGTGAGTGTGTGTGTGTGTGTTTGTGCGTGTGTGCGTTCATGTGGATGGGGTGATGTTCATGTGTGCCCATTTGTATGTGTAACACAGTAAAAAAATTGGCTCTTAGTCTGGTAGGCCACCCCTGGTATAGTGCTATCGACTTCCAAGCACTACCATCAAGAGAAAAAGCACCTATTAACTTCTTGAGGTTCCTCACCTTCTCCAGCTCTTTGTGCGGGGCCCCTTCTTTTTTGAGCCGCTCCAGCTCCACACACTTGGCCTGGTGGCCCTCCTTGGACTTGTGCAGGTGTCCGGCCTGAGCCTGCAGGGCCTGGACTGCCTCCACTGTGGCCCCCATCTCCTCTTTAGTCTGCCAAATATGACCAAATTTACATTGAGCCTCCCAGTTCTGCTCCCTTGGTTCTGAGATTGGGTCGCGCTCTCCACGTCTGGCCAATCCGTTGCTGCGGCTGATTAGCACCAGCCTAGAAAATCAGCCTGCTCCTTCTGTGCGGGGCGACCTGAATCAGTGTCTTGTCTGCCAACGTTCTGAGAGAACGTGTTTTTCTGTGTGAGCAAAACTTCGAACTTAAGATTGCCTGTGTGGCTCTACTTGTGTTTTGATTTAGTGCATTGAGAATCCTGTGCTTTGTTTTGAAGCTGTTCAGTACAAACTGTTACCCTCGTTTGCCTGTTTTATTATTATTATGTGCTGGTATATAATTTGAATATTAAATTGATTTTATATATATATATATATATACTGTACAGACCAAAAGTTTGGTTTTTATCATCATGATTTTGCAAATTGTAGATTCACATTGAAGGCATCAAAACTATGAATTCACTCATGTGGAATTATGTACATACAAAAAAAAAATAGTATGAAACAACTGAGAATATGTCTTATATTCTAGGTTCTTCAAAGTAGCACCTTTTGCTCTGATTACGGCTTCGCACACTCTTGGCATTCTCTTGATGAGCTTCAAGAGGACTGAAATGGTCTGAGTTCCCACAGATGCTTAGGACTAGTTGGCCTTTTCGCTTTCACTCTGTGGTCCAGGCCCAAAACCATCTGGATTGGGTTCAGGTCCAAAACCATCTGGATTGGGTTCAGGTCCGGTGACTGGAGGCCGGGTAATCTGGCCCAGCACCCCACCACTCTCCTTATTGGACAAATAGCCCTTACACTGCCTGGGTGTGAATCTACAGTCAATAGTCATGAAAAGAAAGGACACTCATTGAATGAGAAAGTGTGTCCAAAGTTTTGGTCTGCACTGTACATACATATATATATACATATATACACACATGTATATATATATATATATTAGGGCTGTCAAAATTATCGCGTTAATTCACGTTAATTACCGTTTTCATTAACGCGTTAAAAAATAATTAACGCATTAACTGCCATTGACGTGTTAACACGTCAATTGCGTTTCCCGCTATTTTCACGTTCCCAGATGTCTATTGTATCAAATATGTAAGGCTTGAGGCAATATTTTATCAAGCCAGCAGATGGCAGCATTGCTCTATGAATGGTTTGAAAACATGTGCCTCTTTTCTCTCAGCTTTCTGGTGATTTCAATAAAACTTACCTCTACTCGACTGGGGATTACAGGGGAACGAAACAAGCTAGAAACAAAATTATTTTTGCTGATGAACATAGACAGTCCATTCTTTCAGAATATGGTTTTGGATTTCAGATAGTCATAGTACACAATATTCTGTGGGTCTTGAAAATTCAGTAAAAATCATCAGAAACGGCTGGTAATATGGGAGTACCTGTTCTGAAATAGGCTGGCAGTCAAACGCATGTCTGAATGACCCGCCCATTTATATAATATCACTCAGAATGCCATGGACATGTGCGTGTGTGATGGTGACAGCGGTAACGTGGTCATATAATACACGCATATATATACGCACAGGGCCATTATCAGATGTTGTGTGACACACGGAGGAGAGGAGGAGACACGCTGAAATGCAACCAAACTCGCAAAATTAAAGCTGGGGTACCTACATTTTCCCTTTCATTAACAGCTCTTGTTGGTTGTACCCAAAAGTAGAAGGTTGTGAGCAAATCAAACAGATTGAAGTACATTTGGTATGAATAACAATGTGTCATTACATTTGAAAATCTCATGTAACTTCAATTGGAGTGGATTTGAGATAGAATGTTAAAAATGCGATCAATCGTGAGTTAACTCACCATTACTGTGCGATTAATCAACTAAAAAAAATTAATCGTTTGACAGCCCTAATATATAATATATATATATATATATATATACATATTTGAACGAATATTAGACAGCCCTTATTTAAATTATTTATATAAAATAGCTGAAGTAACCTGCAAGCTAGCAGGTTACTTCAAAACTAGAACTCTCTGAAACTACATGAAATTTGAACAAAGAATTATATATGGGTCATCAGCGGTGAGCGACCCATATATAAACTCAACATAAATCCATAATCAGTTCCTCTACAAATGTGTCCAAAAATGTTCTACTAATGTTAATTACTTCTGGGTACCGCGATGGCTTTTTGCCGCATTAAAACTGTATTTTTGTCATAAAAATGTTAACAGATAATTCTGAAAACCTCTGTGCACGTGTGTTAAGAATGTATATGTATAATGTATCTAAATGTGTTGATTGATTCAGTACTTGTGTTATTGAGCGTGGCTAGCTTCAATAGCTTCTCTCGCAGAGACAGAAGTAATAAGTGCATTGCGAAAGGGCAGAAGTCATAAGCAAGAGGTCCATTAAGCAAGGTACAAACTATTAGCAAACCAAATACAAAGGAGATTTCAAGAGTGTACTGGATGTTATGGATTACGAGGGACTATGAAGCAATATCCAAACATCAACTTTTTCAAATATAAATACAAAAAAAAGATTTTTGAAAAATAGAGAAGTGTTCAGTGACAACTAGGGTGTGTAGTGCAATCAATTAGCCTCTTAACACCCACCTCATTTTGGCTTGTGCACAAAAGTTGGGCATTCCCAAATGTCTTTGCTTTTTCAAATACACGTCACATGATTGTGTGATGAATCATGTTCTTCTAGTTTATGTTAATATACACTAAAATAATGTATGTCATTCCTATTTCACTCTGCATCCTTTGAAGTTTGTGAAAAAAACCTGTTTTTTAGCCTCGCCTAAAATATTCAATTTCTAAATGCCCTGACAAAGACATACTTCATTGTAAGATCACAATATTCAAACCCTATGGTCATTGTGTTGTTGGCAACACCTGTCTAAAGTTTCAGACTTCTAAGTGTTATAGTTTTCATGCAGTTTCTCTTTTTCATCAAGTAGTGCCATTTAGAACCAATTTGGCACACTTTGTGCCAAAGTGTGCCAAATTGCTTTACTGACATTTTATGTCCTCAATTATTATAAAAACCATATTGTTTTGTTTTGGTACTTATAAGTCACTTATCTGTGTGATTGTTTCAACATTTTTTCAAAGTTAATTTTTTAGTAATGTAAATGCATATATTATATAGCCTGACTCTCGCCAGACCCATTTAGTTTGCTGCACTTCACACATGAGTCTGGTCAGTACCAGCCATAGTGGTTGGATTTCAGAAGGCAGGGCCTTGTAAAAAAAAATCCTTGTATGTGATTGGATAGACCACTTGTCCGTTATCTTGAATGAAGTCTGCTTTCAACCACTCATATCGAAACACACGGCTCCCATAGGTTGCCAAATCCCAGCAAGATTTTCCAACCCAAAATCCGCAAGAATACCCACACAAAAAAAATACACTCATTTTTTGGCTAAAAACATAATGTAATCAACTTGGGCTATCATGATTCTGTTTAAGGTTCTTTAAAAAGATTCGCTTTACGTCCGCCAGCTTGGATTCCTCTCGCTGCTGCATGAGAGAAGCTTGAGAAGGCAGTGCAAACCCCACGTAACACCGGCAATCCTGATTGGTCGATTAAAAAATAATCTGGGGAAGGCGTTCGCTATGGCGTCGATACCAGACCTATGTGGTTCAGCCAAACGCCTCTGGTGGAGCATGGCGGAACTACAAGGGTCTGGCAGAGCCAGGCTATTTTTATATGCTCTGCTCTGAACAGCGTCTCTTTCCCTGCCTTTACGCACGCTTCTAATGATACAAATGAACAGAGTTCCCATGTGATAGAAACCTTTCCCTATTGGCTACTTAGACATGTCAATCATTCGGCAAAGGAACACTTTCCTACGGGTTAGTCTGGCTAACAACAAATACAGACTGGCCATGCGCAAAAGTGGCTGCTTGTTTTAATCTAGGGGTAATACTGGACTCAGACTTACATTTTAACAGCCACATCAAATCAGTAACATCAGCAGCTTTCTACCACCTAAAAAACATTGCCAGGATCAAAAACATAGTGTCTAAAGCAGACTTGGAGATTCTTATCCATGCATTTGTCTCCAGTAGGTTAGACTACTGCAATGGCCTGCTCACAGGTCTCTCAAAACAGGCTGTAAAACAGCTGCAGTACATTCAAAATGCAGCAGCTCGACTCCTGACTAGAACCAGGAAGTACGACCACATTAGTCCAGTTCTCAAGTCTCTGCACTGGCTTCCTGTGGCTCAGAGAATAGACTTTAAAACAGCTCTGCTTGTGTACAAGTCTCTCCAGGGCCTCGCACCAAAATATATTAGTGACATGTTAGTCCCATATGAACCAGCCCGGACTCTGAGGAGCACAGGGACTGGACTCCAGTTAGTGCCCAGAGTCAGAACTAAACATGGGGAGGCTGCTTTTCAGATTCATGCTGTTAAATCTGGAACAATCTTCCTGAAGATGTGAGACAGGCCTCCTCTCTGACAATGTTTAAAACCAGGTTAAAAACAGTTCTGTTTAGCTGTGCATACAACTGACGGATTTAATATTTTTGTCTTTCTTTTTAATGTGCTGTGATTATTTATGATTTTAATGCTTTCTTGTTTTGTTCAGCACTTTGAATTGCCTTGTGTATGAATTGTGCTATACAAATAAACTTGCCCGGCTTGCCTTGCCTATTCACGTCGGTGTTGCAGACAAACACGGGCACCCATCTCTTCAGGAAAGGTCTCATTTTGTAGTTAACGAGTTAGAGAACACGTCAAAATAGAATGGCGTCAAAATAGGGTCTGCTTGAACGTAACCGTAAAGCAGGAATTGTAAACGTAGGTTACAAGTATTGTAAACATAAAAATATATTGTAAACAAAAAACTGTAGTAAACTTAAAACTTACACTTCTCATTTTTCATGTTTCGCTTCAAAAGTTACGTTTACGATTCACAAGCCACGCTTACGAGTCAAAAGTTTACGGTTACGGTTCATTTTTCATCTGATACTTTTTTTAAGGGGCACGCTCAGCGCGCCCATTGGCTGAAGCAACCGGATGTTACGTCATCACAAAATCAAAAGACACGCACGTTCCTACCGAAGACGAAGAACAAGGCTTCTGGTCATCTGCGGAGACCTGCGTTTATAAATGCTAAGAGCACACTTCATATCTGGTCTGTGTCCAACAGTAGCTAGTATTGAAAAAGTCCAATCCATAAGTGATCACTCGGTTACATGATGTTGCTATAAGAAGATAACCCGCTGTGACCTGATGTAATCAGGATCATTCAAGTTAAAGCCAGCTCATTTTTAGAGTTGCTAAAACAAACAGCTAGCGTTGCTAAAATGCTAACAATAGCTGTTTTGCTAAATAAATAGTTAGGGAGGCTCCTTCGTTTTAGTCTGAGGAGAAACAGGCTTCTTCAAATAACTAACTAAATAGTTGTTCATAAGTGAGCCTGTGTAGCCTTCTAGGCACAACAAAATTGATACTGTGAGTGGAAGAAGAGCACACCAATATTTAAGAGCTGTAAAAATAACCACCATTAATACAAAGACAACTGTAGAACAAAAGTGATCAACCTGTATACCACTCAAAATGTAGTAATTACTTAATTATGTGGATTTTTTCCTGTATCAGGAGAACTGTGCCTTGCATCTGATGAAGGAGGGGACTGCTGAGCTGAATGCAGGGAGAGACGTGATGTGGATTTGTTTTTTCTTTTATTTTGTGCAGAGCTACTAGAAAAAGTCATCCAATGCCTTTTTCAGACAGAGCAGAACATGGAACAAAACGCAGATTACACTAATAAAGGGGTTAAGGGTGTGCACCAGGTCAAGACTGTAATTGAACAATAAAAGCAAGTTGCATGTCCAGACCCTGGCATACAAGAACAGTTCAGGGTAAGGATGTACCCCAAGTCTTTGTAGACATACACCCAGGCATTAAGGCTTTGACTTAATGCCCACTCTCTGACTGGGGAGCACATCAGCCTCAAAACATATAACTCAGTCCCCGGGTGGAAGTATTTCCCATTCTTCACATGCCCAAAGAACACATAATTGTATGTATTTATAGATGCTTTTGGGTTCTCTTTTAATACATTTTTTCTTGACACTCAAGGTTGCCTTACATCCAAGTAAAAAAGTGTATTTTAAAAACAGTTAAAATACAAAGTTAAAAGCATCATGGAGAGAGGAGAGTGTGGTTATGATGATAGTGAGTAGGCTTGTCTAAACAGGTGGATTGAGGGTGGATTTGGACAGTGTTCCAGAGTGGCTGAAGGCTCTACTCCACATGGTGACTAGGCGGGCAGGAGGGACCAGGTGCTGGAGAGGGGAGGAGGAGCGGAGGGAGTGGGCAGGTGTGGAGATCTGGAGGTCAGTCAGGTTAGGTATAGACACTGGATGTATGAATGAGGTAATTATAGATATTAGGCCAGGTAACAGACGGCCATTTACTCCTATCTACAACCCTCTGTTCTGTGAGAATAAGTGCTATTATATGTTTACTTGATAGGCACAGAAAAAAAAGTATTGTTACAGGTGGCCGATGCCATGTTCATAGGCTGTATAGCTAGCACTTAATTTGCAGACCTGGTCCCTAAGACATGAAAATACATCACATTTACTTAGATTATTATAAAAACACAGTTTTACATCTTGCTGGTGTGCAATGTGTGGTGCTGGTGCCTATCGCTGAGATAACCTGCAAGATCAGAACTATTCAGGGTTTCTGTGAGATTTTTAGGGATGTTAGACATCCTAAATTAGCAAACACAGTACAGGTACAGTAGCCAAATATGACAGATCGTAAAACTGATGGTCGTAAACAGTTTAGCCCCGATTTGAGCTACATAACATTAAGTTAAGTTTAATAAGATAACATGAAACAAATAAAATGTACTATTTATCAAGTTTCACGGATTGGTTTAACCATTCAGCTAGTTAGCTCATTTGTTTCAAAACTTTATGTACAGGTTATGGACTGACAGATTCATTGCTAGCTAGCATAGGCTCATTATGTAAGCCGCTATAATTTTGTAAATAAAAACCAGATACATAGTTTTATTTACATTTGATAGCAGTAGATAATCCTGACATGACAAAGCATTCAGTGTGAACAACGTACAGTGGTGACGAAGGTCCCGAGATGTAGCTTAGCTGGCTAGCCTTGTGCAACATAGGCAAATGGCGTTAATGATGGCATGGTTCACACATCTAAACATGACCTGGTGTAATTGTTCTATAGGGTGTCCACAAGAATGCACATACCACGTGAAAGCCTACAATAGCCAGCCCAGTTGAAAAAATTTGATCAATCATACGCTGTAGAGAGTTTGAACGAGACTTGAATGTCTTGAATTTTGAATGACGTAACACCCGGTCGCTCCAGCCAATAGGCGCGCTGAGCCCGCCCCTTAAAAAAAGTATCAGATGAAAAATGAACCATAAACTTTTGACTCGTAAGCGTAGCTTGTGAATCGTAAACGTAACTTGTGAATCGTAAATGTAACTTGTGAATCTTAAACGTAACTTGTGAATCGTAAACTGAACTTTTGAAGCGAAACATGAAAAATGAGAAGCGTAAGTGTACGTTTTAAGTTTACTACAGTTTTTTCGTTTACAATATATTTTTATGTTTACAATACTTACAACCTACGTTTACAATTCCTGCTTCACGGTTACGTTTAAGCAGACCCTATTTTGACGCCATAGCATGCCCTGTCTTTGGGTAAAAAGCAAAGCAAAACTTTCGAACTGTGAAAGGGCAACCTGTACGTTCTTTTAGAATGTTTTTTTCACTAAAGATAAATGCACATTTTTGGATTATTTCTCCAGAATGGATTATACTTTGGAAAATACAAGTGGATATTCTTTTTCCATGGACATCTACGGAGCCTAAGCAAGGATGAGGGAAGTCTAATTTGTTTATGCAGTACAAGACCAAAGGTAAAAAACTTATTCAGAAGTGATTTATTTTATGTCCATATTATGCGTTATATCTTTTGAATGCAAAATACATCTGCTATTGCCAACAGAACATTTTAAAATGAAAAATTGGGTGGGTGTTAAGAGGTTAATAGCTTATTGTTCAAAGTTGAGTGTTGTTGCTTGGAACATACGTCATTTCTATTGTCCAAAATACAGTAATTAGAATTAGGGAAAGTTGTGCACCCGTTATCTCCTCCCAATGGGATCATACATCTTTTAATGCATCACACTGTATAGAAAGATAACAACATCTGAAGTCTCAATTATAAAAGCAGCTGATGGGGCAGCTGGGTGATGTCTGTTGGTGAGGAGTCACTGCCGTCTCCAACTGCTTTACACCCTGGCTTTTTATTGCACAACACTACATAGGGTCACTGCGTACTCTGTAAAAAAATACTCTGCTTTCTATCAGCAACATCTCTTCTTTGAGCGAAATGGGTTTAATCAGTACACAGTAACTTGTCAGTATATCTAAAATAATTATATGGTGATATTGTGTCTCTTGCTTTGTGGAGATCTGTCTTAACCAGACTGTTGTAGTGTCTCACTCTGGTAATTATATGAATAGTTCAAATTAGTTTTACTGAAACTGCCTTGAAAGATAAACTTAAAATCAATTTTGTCCTTTTGTCAGTGAGGCTCTCTGGTCTCTCTCTGGTCAGTGAAGTCAAAGTCAATGTCATGACATGTTCTTTACTCTGTAAATTGATTGTAGATTATTCTATAATTCAGGATGTGCAGATTTGCATTTATATCCTTGTTCTGTACTATTTTCATTATAATATGTCAAGTTGATTGTAATTGACTTTGGGAGTACGATGCTAATAAGCTCTTTGCTTCAGCCCACTCCTTTTGTGCAGTATTAACTGTTAAAATAAATAATCAAAAAATAATGATGAATAGAGCGTTCTGCTGCTGCTTTGAGGAACTGTATGACAAATTATGATTAAATATTTGAATATTTAAATTAATAATCTCTCCACCACACGTCTTGGACCATTGACCTGGCGCGTGCATTAAAAAGAAGGCGCAGCTTCAAAACCAATCAGGAAGGAAAGGGGAGGGAGCTTGGAGAGTTATTATTATTTTTTGTCAAATCATCTACCCCTCTCTTTTTTTCTGACAAAGTCCAGACTATCACTTTAAGTGGTACGAGGCCATGTTAAAGGAATAGGCCACCGTTTTTACATACTGACATAAGTTCTTACCTTACCTTAGACTAGTTGATATGTACCTGTCTGGTCTTTGTCCGTGCGCTCTGTCATGCAAACGGAGCTCAAACGCAGCCTCTTCCACATACTGTATAGTTCCAAATCAGCTCCCGTTAGAAGCTACCAAACTCTTCCACGTGTTCCCTATCTAAATACGTGTTACACTACAAAGTATAGTAACACAGAAATGTAACATGTTGATTTTCTCAGCTGATAAAAAGGGGTACTATATTGTGAGGCATAATAATACGAGGAGCACTACGTCCACGCACTAACTCCCGCTCACGCTGCTTCTATTGACGGAAGTGAGCGGGAAAGAAGTTTTTAGGAATTAGTGCGCGGACGTAGTGCTCCTCGTATTATTACACCTCACAATATAGTACCCCTTTTTATCCACTGAGAAAATCGACATGTTACATTTCTGTGTTACTATACTTTGTAGTGTAACACGTCACGTAACTGTATTTAAATAGGGAACATGTGGAAGAGTTTGGTAGCTTCTAACGGGAGCTGATTTGGAACTATACAGTTTGTGCTCCGTTTGCATGACAGAGCGCACGGACAAAGACCAGACAGGTAAATATCAACTAGTCTAAGGTAAGGTAAGAACATATGTCAGTATGTAAAAACGGTGGCCTATTCCTTTAACGCAGTAACGCACAAGTACCTTGCGGTGCGTCTTGAGCTGCTCCTCTCCGTACTTGGTGATGTCTCGGATCAGGTCGTTCATCTTCCTCATCAGCTCCATGTGACAAAGAGCCAGTTTGTCTGCAGACACTCGGAACACATCCCACATCGGAGCAAAAGTCCTACAGTCACAACATCCTTCTAAGTGTATGCTTCAAATATTTTATTCACATCTATTTAAATTCAAAATAAATTTTGACGTATGGTGTATCTATGTCGCAGAAGCACTTTGTTCCTATATGCACTGCCTTGAGTTTAGTTTTATTTTTGAAAGAAAGAAATATGTATATTTTGCTTTGATTTTCATTTATTTTACAGTTAGCTTATAATTTTCGTACACAGGGAATTAAAAAAAAAAAGATGGGAGGAAAACAACCAGTGTATACTTTTACATCCCCATAAACAATGCTTAAAGTTACACGAAGTGCACCAAGTGAGAACCCTTGTATGAAACAAATATAAAAACAAACCTGTGTAGCAATGCATGTAGAAGAAACTAATTGAAGCAGATGGGCAGAAGCATTATTATGTTAAAATAAGCCATAGCTCTTGTCAAAGCCAAGTTAGTGCTGTGATGGGAGATGGATGCAGATCCTCACCTCAGCCAGTAGTGGCTTACCGCCAAATTGGAGTACTTTAACATTGCACTCAATTGTCAAGATTATTTTGTATTCTTATACAACATATACAGTGCCTTGCGAAAGTATTCGGCCCCCTTGAACCTTTCAACATTTCGCCACATTTCAGGCTTCAAACATAATTTTTTGTCAAGAATCAACAACAAGTGGGACACAATCGTGAAGTGGAACAACATTTATTGGATTATTTAAACTTTTTTAACAAATTAAAAACTGAAAAGTGGGCCGTGCAATATTATTCGGCCCCCTTGGGCTAATACTTTGTAGCGCCACCTTTTGCTGCAATTACAGCTGCAAGTCGCTTGGGGTATGTCTCTATCAGTTTTTCACATCGAGAGACTGGAATTCTTGCCCATTCTTCCTTGCAAAACAGCTCGAGCTCAGTGAGGTTGGATGGAGAGCGTTGGTGAACAGCAGTCTTCAGCTCTTTCCACCGATTCTCGATTGGATTCAGGTCTGGACTTTGACTTGGCCATTCTAACACCTGGATATGTCTATTTGTGAACCATTCCATTGTAGATTTGGCTTTATATTTTGGATCGTTGTCCTGTTGGAAGATAAATCTCCGTCCCAGTCTCAGGTCTTTTGCAGACTCCAACAGGTTTTCTTCCAGAATGGTCCTGTATTTGGCTCCATCCATCTTCCCATCAATTTTAGCCATCTTCCCTGTCCCTGCTGAAGAAAAGCAGGCCCAAACCATGATGCTGCCACCACCATGTTTGACAGTGGGGATGGTGTGTTCAGGGTGATGAGCTGTGTTGCTTTTACGCCAAACATATCGTTTTGCATTGTGGCCAAAAAGTTCGATTTTGGTTTCATCTGACCAGAGCACCTTCTTCCACATGTTTGGTGTGTCTCCCAGGTGGCTTGTGGCAAACTTTAAACGAGACTTTTTATGGATATCTTTGAGAAATGGCTTTCTTCTTGCCACTCTTCCATAAAGGCCAGATTTGTGCAGTGCACGACTGATTGTTGTCCTATGGACAGACTCTCCCACCTCAGCTGTAGTTATCTGCAGTTCATCCAGAGTGATCATGGGCCTCTTGACTGCATCTCTGATCAGTCTTCTCCTTGTTTGAGATGAAAGTTTGGAAGGACGGCCGGGTCTTGGTAGATTTGCAGTGATACTCCTTCCATTTCAATATAATTGCTTGCACAATGCTCCTTGAGATGTTTAAAGCTTGGGAAATCTTTTTGTATCCAAATTTGGCTTTAAACTTCTCCACAACAGTATCTCGGACCTGCCTGGTGTGTTCCTTTGTCTTCATGGTTCTCTCTGTGCTTTAAACAGAACCCTGAGACTATCAAAGAGCAGGTGCATTTACACAGAGACTTGATTACACACAGGTGCATTCTATTTATCATCATCAGTCATTTAGGACAACATTGGACCATTCAAAGATCCTCACTGAACTTCTGGAGTGAGTTTGCTGCACTGAAAGTAAAGGGGCCGAATAATATTGCACGTCCCACTTTATAGTTTTTTATTTGTTAAAAAAGTTTCAATGATCCAATAAAGTTCGTTCCACTTCACGATTGTGTCCCACTTGTTGTTGATTCATGACAAAAAATTTACATATTATATCTTTATGTTTGAAGCCTGAAATGTGGCGAAATGTTGAAAGGTTCAAGGGGGCCGCATACTTTCGCAAGGCACTGATTATATATATATATATATATATATATATATATATATATATATATATATATATATATATATATATATATATAGTTTGGTCTATGTCAATTCTTAATTACCCACTACAGTGAACGGTTTTTCTGTGTTCAAAGGACAATTCTGTTTCTCTAAGTGACTATCCAGCAGTTACACTGGTATTTTCTCATAGCCACATAGATGATGAGTGAAACGATCTACTTTTTGGTACTATTTGTAAAACTCCTGACAAGTGCAGCACTCATTGGGTGCCTGTTCCAAAGCAAAAAACTGCTGCAAAGAGACAGCTCATCCCATTTGGTGGCAGTTTGGCTGCTCGTGACCACTCAGCATTTTTGGTGAACTAAAACGCTTTGGCTTCTTGTCACTATGAACATCAGTGTTTTGCATTGTGTAAGAAAGGTCTTTGAAGAAAAAACACAACATGGTTGAGGGTTATTTTGGAATAGATTAGAAATGTGGACATACTCAAAATATATTTTCTGAAATTACTGACTCCCCCAGTACCCTAATTATTCAAGTACCTCTGCTTATGGTGCTTTTCACAGTGCTACAGGAATCCTTTTATTCAGCGGTGATAAGCTAATACAACAGTCCTGGCACAGACACAGTTGCCGATCGATTGCTACAAAAACATCTATCATGATTCTTGTAATTTCTTTTTTTACACTGTGGTGGTTTAAAATAACTATTGAGCCTAGTCCACTCAACTAAAGTTACAGTGAGTTCATACAATTATCTTGAATTATTGTGCCATTTGAAAAAGATAAGATTGAATTGGAATACCTCAGTCTTGTTATATTTTCTATCAACAGCAATTTTTCTGTTTCTGTGTGCAAAACTTGTTGAGGTCTTGTCTGAATTATGTATGTGGGCATTTGGAGTTTGCAGATGGCTCTGATGGCTCATGGGACATATAGCTGATCTAACCGACTTACCCCAACGCACTGCAATTGCTTGCTGTCTTGGCCAGTTTGCTCATGGACTTTGAGTAGCTCTCCTCGATGGCTGCCCTGCAAATACAACTCTTTGATTACCCTTACATTACCAGATCCATTTATGACCCCTTGGTGAGGATGAAAGGTTTATTCTCCGTTACATCGCATGAACAGGACAAGCCCAACTCTGACCCTCTGTACTCTGTGCTTACCATCTCTTGTTGCAGAAGGACAAATATTCACACATATCAAAGCGGAGCGACTTTTGGTCACACCAACAGTATGTAAACTTTGACGAAAAAGGAGAGAATCTGCAGAACGGAAACAGAGGGTCTTATAAGCTTCTATCATGTTAAATGTGCGTCTGATTCCAGACTGAAATCAGATTTTCTCCTGTAACTAATTTTTGATAACATAAAAACAATTTTCCATCACACATTTCTTTGACTCAGTACTTATATATACTGTATAACACAATTCAATGTATTTTTTGTACAGCCCTTATTCACAACAGCAGTCGTCTTTGAAGACTTTACAAAATTGTCTATTCGCCAACAACAGATCAGAGAATCAAACAGAACCCAGGAAATACAATCATACAATAAACACATAAGATTGGTCCATAGGAAGTGGGATGACCAATGTCCGTAAATGTTCATAAATTGCATACATTTCTGCTTTTGACACACGTAATGAAACTAAAACAAAACAATGAAACATGGGCAGAGGGACTGTGTGCTTCCTCACAAAAACAACATGAGTTAGGTTGGCCCATATGCTCTATTTATATACATTCTTTACAGAAAAAATGGGTAGGAGGTAAAAAATTACCACCTACCAAATATTTGCAAGAGAAATATTTGGGGACTACTGCTCACACACAGAGTGACCACCACAAACAACCTTCTATTCAATCCCTTGTACAAGGCTTCCATCCACAGATAAAAGAAAGTACCATGATGATAATATCAATCATAATACATTGTTTTAATACAGCGCTTTTTTGGACACTCAAAGACACATATCTAGTTCATCCCTATTTTTCACGTTATGATTTCACATTGTAAAACATGAAATGACAATGTAAATAATCTCCAGATGATGTTTAAGGGCCAAAATTAACCCTGAGATGCCACAGGGTTGTGGGCTAGGGTTGCAAACATGAGAACAGGAAAATAAGGGACACCATTTGGGTGGATCAGGTTGCGCACTTTTTAGTTGTCCTACTTTCAATCTACATAGGAATTACGGAATTTCATATTCACTGTTTTTTTGACTGCATATAAATAAAACAAATCCGTAGTCAAAAATTAAATGGTGCAACTCTTTGGCTGGTTAAAGACTCAATACATGATTATTATTCATAACAAATATAAAAAAGTACTGATCATATCTGAGGATTTTATGACCACGCCACTTTTACTAGAAAAGCTACTAAAGATAAATATTCACATTTAATCATAGAAAATAAAAATAAAAAGAGACAAATGCTGAAAACTAATGTTGTAGTAGTATCACAAAGTGGTGGTCAGCCGAGCTAGTTGTTCACTAGAGCGCGTGTCTGACTGAATATGCCTTTTGCATGTGTTGTTTTAAGTTTTCTTACCGATCGAATCGCGAAACCTTTAATGGATACTTTAGGATTCTTTGTGAAGAGATCAATAAAGAGCCTCGCACTAAGGACTTTACGAAAATACGCAGGAAAAGTGGCTCGCTAACATTCCACTAGCAAACGCTTTTACCTCGAAGGATTATTTATTTACCCATCCATGCTGTCTCAATGCGCAGTTATTACATCCCCATCTTCATCTAACTCATTGTGTGCCATTGACACACAAATACGTCAAAGTAAATGTTCACGTTCCCAGACGTCTATTGTATCTATTATGTATGGGGATGGCTTGAGACCATATTTTATCGAGCCAGCAGATGACGGCATTGCTCTCTGAATGGTTTGAAAACAGTTAGGTGCACATGTTGTGCCATTCTTTTGGAATCTGGTGTCGGATTTCAGATCATCAGTCATAGTACACAATATTCTGTGGGTCTTTAAAAATCAGTGAAAAACCATCAGAAACGGCTGGCAATATGGAAGTACCTGTTCTGAAATGGGCTGGCAGTCAATGAGTTAATTGTCAGGTATGAGTTGGCGTTTTAAATAAACACTGAATGTTTGCACACGCATTGTTTTGTTGAGAATGACAAGTTCATTCACCAATCCTTGCTTACACGGCTCTTTTGATGTAGGATTTGTCCTTCAGGACCTTAACTCTGAGTTCCTTAACCCACAGAAAGACGGAAAAGTTGCGGCATCCATCTTTTTCCAAACCTTCATTTGTTTAGCAGTGCAAAAGCTTGATTGTAACACTAGCTAGTGGATTAGAATTGTAAGATGACAAAAGGGGGCACGACTCAACAAAGAGTTCCCTCGATCGACATTAACCAGCCGGAGATAAGTAAACATGCGATTTGGGAATGTCCATCCCAGAGCAGACATCTGAGACATAAAAAGGTCGAATGGAGGACTATCATTAGTCACAAAGATACCAACCTTCAAGCTGGGACAATGATCGACCCCAGAACCAAACATCTTTGCCTCCCTATCCGGCGAGATCAAAGATCAAATCGGGTCTGTACACTCTCTGATAAGGCCTGAAGACATTCCACCCAGGCAGACTGGCGACCCACCAACGGCGTTCTGACGCCCCCCAGTGGACACGGGACGCTAGCACGCCCGAGATGAACATTCGAAACCATCGCTCCGTGAAATCGTTATTCTGATAACCTTTACTGTGCTCTACACGTGTGTACCATTGTCTGTAATGTAAATGCGCTGTGTGTCTGTATATGTGTTATAAACGTCGGTGTCAGCAATGTATATGTCGTTATAACCATGTCTGTCGCGAGAGATGTCCAGGGAGGCGCACAAAGATGACGTCATAGACGCGCCCCCGTTGAGAAGTATCAAAAGCGCATGCAACCCAGAGAAACTTTCTCTTGGCATCTTTTAATGAACTTAGCAACTTTATGGTACGCGTCTCCAACGCGACCTCTGGGTCTGTAACAACTTTGGGCCCCTATACCTCCACAAGGACAGCTGTCGACCCCGCTGTGGGAGACAACGAACTCTCATCAAACAGCCACTTTCCGGCTCTTTGGACTGGACTACTATATACGGTGCTTTTCTAGACGGCACACGTGTGTATGTGGATTTCAAGTTTTGATCCGATCTGCTGGCCTTCGTCTCTCCTGCTCGAACAAAGGAACACGTGGACCCCCCCCTTTCCTCTGCAATTCTTCAATACGGACTACGTCAAAGTAAGACTGTTCTAATTGCCACGTTAATGTGTGATTCACGTGATATGTTTAACATCTCTGTTTAATGTGACCAAACCCCTCCTCGTTGATATTTTTCTATTTTCGTATGTAGTCAATAAACCCACAATAAATCTAGTCTTTGTCAAAGTGTCCTTTTTATAAATCTTTTGATATCCCTGGCTGATTTCGAACCCAAAAACCTATCAGATTGTGAGACTGATCGAGGCAGATTAGTATTGGATCTGTTGTAGATGTTTCAAATTCTACTGGTGCCCCTAAATATAAATTCAGATCCCTCTGTGTGGAACGGCGAGACTCCGACGGAGACTAGCCACTCCACATTACATATTTCTTACCCTACAGAATCTAAAGTGAAGAAAATGACAGTCTAGGATCTCGTCTTTAATTAGATAAGATTCAAGATTAATTTATTATGTCCCGTAGGAAATTTGTCTTGGACTCACAGGCTGCTACATTGAAAATACACATAAGACAGACATAAAACACAACACAGTAACACCGACATAAACCATCACCGCTCTGCTCGATGGCCTGCATTCAGGAGGTTCACAGATATGGGTAGGAATGAGTTCTTATACCGGTTTAGATATTGTTTCTTATTTCTAGTGGGTACTCTGTAGCGGCAGCCTGATGGGAGGAGCTCATATTGAGAGTGGAGGACATGGGAGGGGTCTGAGGTGATTTTCCTGGCCTGTCTAATTACAGTCTCCTCAAATATCTGCAGCAAAGATGGATGCTCCCTAACTCCCATGACTTTAAAGGCTGTGCGCACTAATCTGTAAAGTTCTGTTTTTGTTTTAACAGTGAAATTCCCAAACCACACACACATACCATATCTTATTACACTCTCAATTACAGCATGATAAAATAGCGTCATTATTTTCTGTTCAACTCCAAAAAGTCTTAATTTCCGCAGGAAATAGTCTTTGTTGAACCCTGCTGCAGACAGAGTTCACATGTACATCCCAGACCAGACTTGAGTCGATGTGGACTCCCAAGTATTTATATGAGTGTACCTGTGTTACCGCTGAGCCATGGATGGAGAGCAGAGTGTGATTTCCAAGATGTCCGGGGTCAAAGATGATTTCTTCTGTCTTCTTTACGTTGATGATGAGATGGTGGTCCTCGCACCAGTGTACAAAATGCTCCACCTGCAGATTGTATTCGGTAGTGTCTGTGTCCTTGTACATGAGTCCTAATAAAACAGTGTCATCTGAAAATTTGATGATTAAAGTGCTGGAATGGCTGCTGGTGCAGTCGTTTGTGTACAGTGTGAAGAGGAGCGGTGAGCTGACACAGCCCTGGGGCGCTCTTGTGTTGATGGTCTTCATGTCAGACAGTGTATGGTTCACTCTAACCTGCTGGCTCCTGTTGGAAAGGAATGAGTGATACCATCGGATTATGTATGGGTTGACGGACATTTGTTGAAGTTTTTTGAGAAGGATGTGTGGTTGCAGAGTGTTAAACACTGAGCTGAAGTCGATAAACAGCAGCCTGGCATATGCTTTAGGGTGTTCCAGGTGTTGGAGAACATTATGCACTGCTGTTATCACTGCGTCGTCAGTGCCTCGATTGTTTTTATAAGCAAATTGGTAGGGGTCCAACTTGCTTCCTATGTCTGACTTCAGCTCTCTTACTATCAGCTTCTCCAGGCACTTCATAACATTGGAGGTCAAGGCTATGGGCCTATAATCATTGTCCTCTTTTGGGACAGGTATTTTAGGGACAGGGATGATGGTTGCCGTTTTCCATTGGGATGGTATGATGTGTGAGTCCACTGACCTCTGGAAGACAGGGGACCAAGCTGGTGAGAGTTCCTCTGCACATGTCTTCAGGAGGAAGGCTGAGATACCAACGGGGCCAGTAGCTTTATTGG